ACTAAAGGTATGTGGAAAATAATCACGGTTTTTGAGCGTAAATTGGCTTCGTAGTAAACGTAAATAAGGAAATCTAGAGGATACACTTAAGGTTGTCAATTTGAAGAGTTTAATAATGACGTTCTGGAAGAAACTATGGTAAGTAGTTCCAGAAATAGTGAAGAAGTGTCGTAACAAAAAAGGATTTAGGGTTGTCCAAGGAAACAGAGAGTCGTATCTTTCATCGTCCCGTTCAATAGAGGGTGTTTGAGGAAATGATTGGGTGACAAGGCTCAGAACGTTTTTGGCAGGAGTAAATGGGTGAGAAACGTCAAAAAAAGCGGGAAGTCATGAAATTTTGTGCATCTGAAAAATCAGGTCTCTTTTTTTGACAAGGATCTTTCACTGCAAAAGAGGGGTGGTGCGTCAGGATAAAGTTATTTTCACCAAAATATTTAGCACATGTGAGAAACAGTAAAACTACTTGTATGGGAAGAAATTAATGTAAGAAATAGCATTTACTGAATTATTAAATATTCTTTCTTGATTATTTTGTGCTCGACTGGAAGTTTTTAACAATTAATTTCATAATACTCCAAAATTTCAAAGACTTTCAAAATCTATAGCATACTGTAGCTTGCTTTAGAATCGATTGGACGAAACTATTAATGTGTGCTTTGTTAACGTAGGCTGCCAATAAAACCTTCATCAAGCCGAAGGCACTTTATTATTAACTCCATCGTTAGGTCAAGTCAAAAATTTCAGCACTGGGAAACTGAATCCTAAAAATAACTTGATTCTCATTAGCGTATGGAAATTTTGAAGAAAACGAAAACCGCTCGCGTTTTTCTTATTTTTCTGCTACGCAACAGTTAGGATTCATATCAAATTTTCTTTTTCATTTCATGTGTTCATTGATGTAGCGAAGTAGGCAGTCCTAGGCGCAACACTCTGGCCAAGACAATGTTTCGTCACCTTTCTGCTTCAAATTTCTTCCAAGATACTCTTCTGAAAGCTCAAAAAAAATGTTTCTTTTTTTTTCCAAATCAGGCTAATAATGGGTAATGAAAATGAATTACTACCATAATAAGCTTATTCTGCAGTCAACTATGAGAAGTTGAAGACAAACCAGAACTATTCTGTTACTTCTTTTATTTCTTAAGCAAATGGCGATATTTGAAAGCAGTTATTAGAATAAATCATCTTTTCAGGAATAAACTATTGACAAATTCTTTGCTGATTGCCGATAAACGACCATCTTGATTGCACAATTTATTTTGCTTACTTTCTTGGCAAAATTATGAAAGCGGCAATTCTGTTTTTCAACTTCAGGATCTGGTCAAACTTTACACATTTCATTTACTTTTGTTAAGGCGCATGTTTCGCTCTACGAGTGGTTTCTTCTGATGGCTCTTATTTGTTAGTTAGAAAGCGAAAAGGCCTTTTTAAAACACTTTCTTATACATTGCTCTGGAGCTATAGTTTTAAAAACAAGATTTTAAAAGGAAGAGTTGTGTCTAAGTTATGGCTGATAATTTTTTAATCTACAGTTGCTAGTATGAATGAATACACTTGACAGTTTTGTGAAATCAGTGGTGAGTACCTTGATGTGAGCTCTGGTCTTAAGTCTCTGGCTGGTTTTTTGAGAAAAACGATTTATCCGCCAAAGCACATGCTTTTGAGAGCTGAGATTTCCCTGAATTTCTTATGTAGCGGGGCAGTTTTTACATTTTTGTAACCAGCAATTTTACATTTTTTCTTCTAATATCTTCTTTACTAATTTCGTATTTGGGTTTCAGAATACTACGCAACCGCCACACGTTCTTGTGAGGGCCCTAATTTTAAAGAAATGCATATTTTACAAGCGAATTACTCTAGCATTGTTTTTTGAATTGGTTATAAAAAAAAAGTTGAATAAACCTCTCTAAACCACAAAATCGATGATATCTCTAGCAGTATTTCTTTGAAACGAGGAAATTACAATTGATGATGTAAGTCCATGTACGAGTCATACCAGTCAAATTCCGCTCGTAATTTAGCTGTTTCGACAGAAACCCTGAAACTAGGAGGGAGTCTGACCCAAACAGATTCAAACTGCTGAATTTTATGAATCCTTGTGGGAAATGTAATTACAAACTTTTATTGCATTTCTGACTGCACCAAAAGCTGAGGTTTTCTGAATTACGCCTTCCCCGGTGAAGAGTGCAGATATCATATTTAAATATGTTGAAAAGCTTTTGTATAAGTTTTTAAACTTTTAAAATGTGTCCCCATTCTCAAAGTTCTCTGAAAGACTTTGTTAAGATATCCTTTTTTCCCGATTTCGTTCTGACTACGGATCTTAAAAGTCTAAACGACTGCAGGATGGCGGCCCTAATAAATGCTCAGATAATCTCTCAGCAAATAGAGCGCTTTTCAGCCAATGCCTCAAACTTCTTTTCTTTTTGGGGTTATGCTGATTAGCGGGGCTTGGCTTTGCAGTTGAAGAAACGGAGAAAACTTGAAGAAGTGAACTCCTCGTTAGTATCTAGAAATCCTCCACGTTTTGTGCGATCGGATCTAATGCAGATCTTATAATTCTGCAGTCTGAGTATACCATTATCTAATTTTGAAATCAGACGGAATTCAAAATTAGGATCCTTGATGTGCCATTCTGTAAAACTAAAACGTCGAGAAAGTAAACTCCACTAGTATGGTAATAAAAAAAAAGGAAAATAATAATAGAATAACAAAATAAAAGATTAAAGACAGAAAAAAGAGCATGACTAATCTTTTGACGAGAATCTAAAGTTATAGTCAGGTGAGTAAGCCGAAATGGATTGTGTCG